CAGCGTGGGCAGCTGCTCTGGCCGCAAGAGGCCCCAGGCCTCCCAGCGGCAGCCTTAGGAAGAGGCCAAGCCTTAAGGAAATGGGCCCTGTGCCACCTTCAGGATGGTGACCCCAACAGGGGGTGCAGAGCAGCCTGGCAGTGACCTTCTTTGTGGCCCAGCTGACCCTGGGCACCATGACGGTTCGGGCAGATTCTCACTAGTTTGGAGGCTCTGGGAAGGAACAGAATACCTGCCTGTGGTGGGGACGAGATACAGGTCATGGGGAAGGCAGGTCCAAATTAGGGACGGAGCTCTGGAATCTGATGACTCCTTCTCTTGTGCTTCTCTTGGAACATGTGTGCGGTTTGGAAGCTGCAGGCTCCCCCTCGCAGAGGGGATGCTCCCTACTTGGAGAGGGGATGGCATCCCCCTCTCTCCTTTGCTTACCTCATGCCTTGTAGAGGAAAGGGCTCAAAACAAGGAATGCAAATAGAATAAGAAATTGCAACCTCTCAGTATGGCAATTTTGCTGAGACCTGAACATTGAAAACCAGTTTCCAGCCCTGTGAAAACCAACAGGAGTCCCAGTTCAGGTGGAGGGAACCACCAGTGGGGGGTCATGGGCAAGAGGGGCAGAAGGCCACCTGGGTGACTAAAGAGCAGGAGGCCCTGCTGAATCTGAGAAGGGGTGCTCCTCAGCATGGCCCCTATATCCCTGCCACTGGCCAGTGCCCTCACCCTTCATGGCAGCCCCCAGGCCACCACCCTGTCACCTTGCCTCTTTTCTTGGCACACATTTTCCCTCTACCTGGGCAGAAAATGGAGGCTGCAGAGCAGGACTCCTTCCTGCTCCAGGGAGGCTCCTGCCTGCCCAGGCACCTGCTGCCCTGGGACCCTTTGCCTTGAGGCTTTCCCCTCCCTCCTCCAGGGCCTCCTGCCCATCTGCTCAAGTCTCTGCCGCCCTCTGCCCCTCCTTTTGCTCTGCTGACCTCAGCAAGCTCCTCTCCAGAACAGTTCCCTTTCATCCCTCTCGCCAGGCTTCTGCCGCACCTCCCACAGCGGCAGGCGTCCGCAGCCAGGCGCAGCACCCTTGTCCACAGCCAGCCGGCTCAGCTCGCCGACTGCCTGCCCCTCCTCTTCGGGGGCCTCATTTCCCTCACACGCCAGGGTTTGCTCTCCCGGCTTTCCTCCTGCCTCCTGGTCATCAGCTTCAGTGTCTTGCTGGCTCTGCGTCCTCTGTCAGCCTTCACATGTGACTGTTCCCCAAGGCCCCGTCCTTGTGTCCTCTCACTGCGGGGGACATTCTTTGCCAGTAGGCTGTGGGGGGGCTTGGATATCTGCAGCCTTAATAAACTGGAAAATCTCCACTGGCTTCCTGGGTAAATCTTGCCCCACGTTCACAGCCTCACCTTTCAGCAGGAGAGGAGGTTCATACAGCTGGAGACCCAGCCAGACCCTTTGTACGCCCAAGCTGAGTAAAACTGCTCAGTGAGTGGGTGTCTCAACCTGACCCAGAACTCCACCCCAACTCCGTCCCTCCTCCTTTCCTCTCTTGCTTGGTAAATGGCACCACCATTGTCTGAAGGACAGTGTCCATACTGGTTATTTTGGCTGTACGGCTGTCCTGGGTCCAGCATTACTGCCTTCTGAACAGCCCACTCCCTCTGTTAGAGCCACACTGCCCAGCTCCTGCCTCCAGGTGCCAGGGCCTTAGCAGCGCTGTTTCCCCACACAGGAAAGCCCTGCCTCCTGCCCAGAACAACATCCAGTCACCTCTTCCCAATCCACCTTGCCAGCCTGGTGACTGGAGGCTAGTCATTTATCCTAGCTGTGCCTCAGTCTCCTCACCCTTAAAGTAGGGATAAGAATAGGTCCTGCCTCATGGGACTGTCATGAGCACTAAAGAGTTAATAAAAAACGAGCACTTGCACAGTGCCTGTCACTAGCAAGCAGACCACTAGCAAGCAGACGAGTAGGAAGAGGCCTGGTTTCCTAGGCAGGCTCCGCCCCACCGGACTGCGTCTCGTCTCGGGAAGTCGCAGGAAGCTGCTTCAGTGCAGCGCCTTCCTGTTCCCAAGTTGCACTCTCCTCACATGGCTGGGAAGCCCCTGGGGGCACGGACCATTTGTGATTTTTGGTGTAGTCCCAGTATCTGCCTTGGTACCTGAGCCATGAGACGTGTTTACCAAGGATTGGTTGGTTTGCTGACAACTCAGTGAAGTAACCAACCGTGTATAACAGGGTTAGGAACATCTGGGCACTTCCTGGATTCGCCCCCACACTCTGTCACTTCTTGTGTGACTTTGTTCAAGTTAGTCCAGCATCTCAGCTTCAGTTTTCTCATCCATAAAATGGAACACTAATACCTGCCTCATGGGATTGTAATAAACTTTTAACTGGGTAATCAGTGTGGAGGAAAAGCCCAGCGCTCAGTAAATGTCAGCTGGGCTTGGCTGATACCCTGACGGTAGAAAGATAACATAAATGGCAGGAATAACCACCATGGAAAATGAAGACAGCTCACGTGTTAGCAGACCCGCCTGGAGAAATCTCTTCTAACTGATGGTAATGAGACCCCCAGGGTGCCAGCTGCTGGTGATCCAAGGTCCGTGGCTTGCAGAGCCAGCTGGGCCCCATAGGAGGAGAGTGCAGGGCACCAAGTGAGCCAGCTTTCTGGGCCGTGAGAGCAGACACCGGCCTGGCCCAGAGCTCTGGGACTGGGCAGCCGCCCCGTTCCGGAGCCCAGAACATGCTGTGGACCCACCAGTCCACAGGGCCACTGTCCCGTGTGATCAAAGCACAGGGGCCACATGGAGAGTGGCCACTCCTCGCGCCCTTCTGCCATGGAGCCTTAATGCTGTCCTCTTTTTATCACATTTTTGCTCCATTTGTTTGGAGCAAGCATGAAGCCAGAGGGCTATTGCCTCAGTAGGTCTTAGCCTGTGGCTCCACACCAAGAACTTGATTGGAGGGGGAAAGCCACTCACGGGGTTCAGAGAGCTCAATTACTAATGATGCTTTTTTTGCCATCTGATTTAAGTATGGAAGCCTTAGATTGTCCGCTTCTTAAGGAAAAAGGCTGTTCTCGTCATCTCTGCTTCTGAATGGGGCCCCAGTCCAGTGCTGGAGGGCAAGATAACTGCTCTAACAGTGGTGGCTACCTGTGTCTGTCGGTGGTCAGCTGGGACAGAATGCCCGTGACTCCCCCACTCCCAGGCAGCCTGCCCGGCTTCTCTGCTGCCCGCCAGAGATGTCCTTGCTTCTCCCAGCTGCTCCCCGCTTGGGAGGCAGTGGGGCAGGACTTCTGTTTGGTCTGATGAGTGGGATGGAGACTGTGTTCTCAGGAAGATTGTACCCACGTGACAGTGTGTGGATGCTGGTGGGGGCACACGGGGCTCCCCAAAGCTGCAGTGCCTTGGCTTCACCTGAGGAAACGTATTTTCTCCAAGATCAGAGGAAGGGTAGTGGGGGAAGGAAGGCATCACCATCATTTCTACAGTACAGAAACGGGGCGGCACCCACGCCGACATGGAAGACCCTTACTGAGGGGTTCACCCTGGCCTGATCCAGGGGCTGGGAGGCTGGGCAAGGCCTCCCCTAACAGTTGCAGGCAAGGTGGGGAGGGCCGAGTGGATCCGTGGTCCGTTCTCTGGTCCTACAGAACCCCCGAAGGCAGGGGCCGGAGGGCGTGGCCTGGGCGGGCGGGGCCACCTCTTCTATTTCCTCCCTACCTGCCCTTCAAGCGTGGCAAGAGTAACCCAAGGCTGGGTGTGATGGGAAACCAGGGGCCACTGAGTTCTTGGAGGAGGAGACAGGGTGGGCACCGGGGCGGCAGCAGGTGTGCTTCTGGGGCACCTTGAATGAAGATGCCTACAAAATCCAACCGAGGGTGAGAGGGCCAGAGGGGTAAGTGGCAGGTGCCGTCAGGTTGCACTTGGCAGAGGGATCTGGGAAAAGCATGAGTGAAGTACTAGACTACTGTTAGTTTTCCTGGAATGCAGCTGTACCTGTCTCCAGATAATGCATCACTTTTAGTAAATGAGTCTGCCCACCTTTAATGGCCAGAACCTCTATCCTTGTAAAATGGGCAGTTGTGCTCAGAGTCCACACAAAATGCAGCCACAGGAGCTGGAACGGAGGGCAGCCCAAGGCCAGAGTCTGCAGAACAGTCTTCAAGGTCTTTGACTCAGTGTTGGACACATAGCTTGGGGTCTAAAATACATGTTGAGCTTTCAAAACCCTTTTCCAGTGAAAATACAAGTTAATTTCACCACTGGTGTTTTTGGTGGGTGAGGACTGAGGAAAGGCATCTATGACATGTCCAGCTTCTTTCCAGAACAGTTCTGGGTAGTTGTTCAGCTCTAAATTTAATCTCAAGCCTACATTTCCATGGGTGAGTGTGGTACTGGCTGTAGGAAGCTGTCTGTGGACAAAAGAGGATAATAGTTTGAATTAGCAAGTCTGGAGATGAGAGCACATCAGCCGAATGACAAATTTAGGATCTTTAAAGACATCTGGTCAGTGATGCCAGACCTCGTGATTGACTGGAAAGCCCTAGTTCAGTGTTTCCGCCCTCCAGCCCTTACCTGCTTCCCCTGCAGGGCCACCTTCTGCTCCAGCCAGCCAGAGACATTTCCAGCTAAACAAAGGAGGCATTTAGGCCACTCACCTTTGACCTCTGTGAGATTAGGTTTCAGATTTTCCTCTAGTACTCAGTTTATCTGAGTGTTTTCTAATTGGCAACTCATTGAGAATGCTCCTAATTCCCTTTCACATTTGATACAATTCCGTTCAGCTTAACAAGTGAGTTACCCAGCCCACTGCTAGCTGAAGCCACACACCACACTCCAGGGTCGCCCCGTGCTCTTGGCCCACGGCTCACTGTCAGGCCTCCCCTTGTAGAGCACACAGCAGTGAGCATGTTGAGAGGGCTCAGGTGGGCGTTGCCCCTGCTCTCTGAAGCCAGTTGTTCCCAGCTCTCACGACCCATCTCTAACACTGCAGTGGATTTTCTCCAGGCTCAAACAGCTGGACAAGCACAGCCAGGCCACAGCCCAGCAGCTGGTGCAGCTCCTCAACAAGCAGAACGAGCTCCTGCTGGAGAGACAGAGCCTGTCGGAGGAAGTAGGCCATCTGAGATCCCAGGTACTGTGCAGACCGGTGCGGTAGGGGCCTCAGGGCGGCCTCACCCACCAGAGAACACCCTGGGGTCAGCACATGGGGCTTTTTCTCATTCCTTTTTCAGAGCTGCATCTCAACAGGCTGCCAGTCCCAGTGAACACACTGGTCAGCTAGGAGGCAGGGCAGGAGATCCTGCAGACTGCAGGCAGAGTGGGAACACAGAGCAGTGCGGGCTATTGGCCCGCCCTCTTTAAGGAGCTACAGTCAGTGGGGAGAAGAGACTCGTGAATCAACAAAGCACATCAAATGCAGGCCCAGCTGCAGAGGGCTTCAGGTGGTGGAAGAAGGGGAGGCTCTCAGGAGGGGCTAGGCTTTGCCTGCCCCTAGAAGATATGTTCTGTTTGAATGGGTGGAAAAAAGAGGTGCCCCAGTTACAGGGGTCACTCTGACTGGAAAGCGGGAGTCTTGTCCTCGATTAGCCCACTGCTAATTGAGCTCCATCACGCATGCTTGCAGAGGGCCTGTTACAGAATGTGCATTAACTCTCTCTACCCTTGAACAAGCTGCAAGATTGATTATTGTCTCCAATTTACAGATGGGAACTGAGGCTCAAACAAGTGTATACAGCTAGCAAGTACGGACACTGCAAATGGAACTTAAGTCTGACCCCACAGTCCGATTTCCCTGTTCAGGTCAGATCTGGGGCCACTAGCAGGGATAACAAGGGGAAGGAGAGTCAGGGTGAGTCTGGAGTATGGAATGCAACCTTTTCTTCCTAACTTGCTCCTTTTCCTGTTGCCGAGGCTGAGATTGCTACCCCATCAGGCAGTTTGTTAGGATACTGTGGTGGTCCACGGGTTGGCCCTGGCCTCAGCCTCTAATTAGGGTCACACTCAGGTGCTCCAGAAGTACCCTGGAGATGTCGCATAGTAAGTGCTTGGAATGATTAATGGGAAAAAAATGCATCTGGAAATGAAAATGATGAGAAATTGTCTCTTGTTCGTCTTTCAGAATGAACATTTCCTCTGAGTGATTTTTCCCACTCAGCCCACCAGATCCCTAAGCTGTCCCCACCACACCCCTGTGATGGTTCACCGGGAGTGGGTGGGGACGCTGCTCATAGTCTGAACCACACGCCACATGCTGCAGTCACCTGGGATGCTCGTAAACAATAAATACAAGGAAGCTGATTCCAGGGCCTCTCCTCACATGCACCAAGGCAGCATCTCTGGGCCAGGGCCCAGGAATTTGCATTTTAACAAGCTGGGTAGTTCTGAAGGACACTGTGTTTGAGAACCTCAGCAATATTTGCAAGCAGAACATGCCCTCAGAGTGAGTGTGGACTGTCCTTATCCTGAGCCCCTGAACAGGGCACGTCACTGATGCCTCCCTGAGCCTCAGCTGCTGCCTCTGCACAGGAGACCAGGCCCGCCAGCAGAGTGGTGCTGGGAGCATAACTGCGTGAGGTGCTTGGCATCAGGGTTTCTCCTCCCGAACTGGAGAAGGCTGACAGCAGCCCAGGGAGGCATGCCGCCTGCCCACCTGCCCATCTCCCGCCCCTGCGTTGTGGAGCCCATGGGGCTGACCCAGGCCAGAGCCCACCATGGGCAGGTCCTATGGGAGGCCCAGGCGGCACCAGCCAGCCAAAGGGCAGGGCCGCTGGGGACCAGGCAGGTGACGGGCTCTTGCCACCAGTGGCAGACTGCAACTTGAAGTGTGAGGGAATGTTTTGGTTTCTGAGAGCCAGGAATTGCTTGTGAACATGGCTTGCAGGGAGTCTTCTGTGCACACCATGGCTGTGCAGCTTCTCTCTGTTAGGGGCCACAGCATCTTGTGGGTTTGCCTTCTAACTCCCCATCTGCCTGCCTTACTGCCCACTCAGATCTTAATGTGGACCACTGGTGCTTAGAAAGCTCTTCCAGAGCTTAAAAAATCTGATAACTGCCCAATGGATGCAAAATTTTCATAAAATGTGTCTAAAAATCCCCAAAGCCTCAAAATCCTCAGAAGAATAAGCAGGTCTTTCTTCCATTGCCTGAAGCAACAGAAATGACTTGACCATTTTATGCTATCTGATCCTGGCCCATCTGGCTCATCTCTAAAGGGAGCTCTCAGATTCAAATATTATATTTGGAGTTATTTTAATATGAATACAACAAAAGAAATTTGGTAGAGGAGATGTTGGCTTTTAGTAGAAAATACTAGTGTTCAAAGAAGAGGCAAGGATCCAGTTTTACAAGCTCTCTCCTGATATCTAAACTGGAGGCCCTTTCCTTCCGCCTAAGTGTGGCATTAGACCTATTTTGGCCATGGAATAAACTTGAACTGTGAGTTTAGCTTACAGTGGGCCCTTGAGTGAGGCTGCTGTCGGCCCCTGGGAGGATTTTGGGGACACCACCTCCTGAGGGCTCCAGAGCTATCAGCCACATGCCATGTTTCCCTAGGGGACACTCTGCTCATGTCAGGTTTAGGGGCAGTTTAGCTAAAAGGCTTCTATTCTCTCAGCCTGGATCAATCAGGTATAATGACTTCATTTTGCATGTCAAACTCTAAGAATCTTAATTCACCCAATACCTGGAAGAGAGTGGATGTTTTCTGGCCTGGGCAGATGCTCTGAAGCGCTGTCACATCCCTCCAATTCGCTCCCAGGTACCCAGCCCTGTGCCCTGAAACAGGTAGCAGGGCTTGGGGCCAGCCTGTGGCCTCTGACAGGAAACATAGCCTGTTTAGAAGCTGTCTTACTCCGACCTGGTTCTCCTGGTCGTGGGGGGACACTGTGCCATGACATAGTGTGGGTGTGATGGTGCATGGGGAGCCATAGGGCCATGGCGTGGCAGGGGCTGTGGCTTGGAGCACTGCCCACAGAGCCCAATACTTCTTTTTGACTTGTTCTCCAGTTAAGAATGACTAAAAACAATGGCCTTATGAATCCCTGCCTCCCTCTGGTTGGGGTAGGAGGCAGAAGGACGTGTATAAATGCCTTTTAAAACATGAACTGGCTGTGCCGGTCCCTGTGGAGACACAGAGACCTCCAGCACCAGCCTCATCCCTCCGCCACCTCCCGGGAGGCAGACCCCAAGGGAGGACCCACCCGTGGCAGTGGTGGCGGGGGTGACCTCGAGGGTGGGAACTTCAGACAAGGCCCGGCAGCTGGGAGCGAGCTCAGGGGTCTGTGACCCACCACCTGCTGTCTAACATCTGGCCAGGAAGGGGGCACCAAGATAGTGAAGAAAGTAGTCTTGTCTTGGGAAGAATGGAAACTCCACCACTAGAGGATTATCTCCTATATCAAGGTGATCTTACGGGCTTATGCATGGATTCGGTGATGAATGTGGTACCAGGACGTGTGTTCTGGTAGCCACTCACCCAACTAACGGGCTGTCTGGTTCCGTCTCAGAATTGAGCCTAGGAGGGATTCCTTTTTAGACCCTTTGGATGTTACAGCTTAGAAAACAGCCTCTGAAACTGACTTATCAGTGATTAATCAGTTGGCCCTGTGACATTTGAGCATTCTTGGCAATGAATTTACTTTCTAATTTGATTTAAACTTTTGCATGGATCCAGCAGCCATATGTGATTATATTAAAGATGGGAGACATTATCCCATCACACCAAAGGCCCCACGGAGGAGGTGAAAGCAAGCACAAGAAACAGACCCAGAAATGAGGTGGAGGCAGGCCTGTTTGTGGCCTGAAGCGAGTGGATGTGAGCCGGAGTGAGGGCTGGCTGGGGAGCCGTGTGGGCAGGGGACCAAGGGCTGCCCTCGCTGGGACCTGAGGTGTGCACAGGTCACGGTGGTCCTTCCCAGCCCTGGGGGCTTGGCCCAGCTGACGGGGGAGCCTCCATGAAGTTAGCTACCTGCAAGACAGATGGTGCTTGAATAGAACAGCATATACACTGAATAAAGTAAATTAAAAAGCCTCCTCCTGAACGAGGATTTTTTGGAAAGAATTCTAAATAGATGAAAACAAACAATTTGATTTCAACCAAATTGTTGTTTTTTTGTTTTTATCCTGATTTTCACCCGAATTGTCAGTCTCAAAAATAAACACTGATACATTCCCAGAAAATATTTTTCAAATAAAAACTGACTCTGTTAAAGTTTGCCCTGATTCTTTCAAAACTGTGTACAAGACACTGTCAACCAAAGTGACTTGCATATTTTTTTAAATAAACTTGAACATATGCAGCTAAAATGTCATTAACTCCCTGCTGCCTGAGTGTTTGTAAAGAATGACATAAGACCCCTGGTGCTGCTTGTCTAACATAAGGATCATACGGCTCTCAGAGAAACTTCCCCAAGCAACTCAAATAGTATAGTTTAACTTTTTTTTTTTAAACTAGTGGCCCTGTGTGGAATTAATATTGAAACATACATACAGGTTCATTTAAGCCAAACTTGCTCTTCCTTAACAGTTCACTTTGTCCAAGAGTGAATAATTTCAAAATAAGACTCATGGAAGAAAAATAAATTGAATTTTATATCACTCCAGAGACATTTGCTCCTCTTATTGCTTTCCGAGTCAGACATTACATTTTGCAATATAAATTCACAATCAAGATTTTAAAGGGAGCTAAATATTTTAATCCAATTAGACAAGTGAACAAAACACTGAATATTACATGTAGTGCAGATAAGTGGTTCTTGCCTTTAAAAGACTGTAATTCCGTCACATTACAACCCCAAATGTCAATGTTGTCTTTATTTTTAACGCTTTCAAACATGAGGCAGCCAGAGGCTCCACTCTCTGCTGTTGGTGACACTGTCTGTCCTTTGGGAATTCGTAAAATCTATTTACCATGGAAACATGGTTCATATAAAACGCAGACACCTGCCCATGTGCAGAGGACGTTCCATGACTTAAGGGAGTCAAGAACACTGGAAGGTGACACACTCAGGACGCCATGACTTGTGGGAGGCCTCTTGTGTCTGAGTGTGCTCTGGGGAACAGAGCCTGGGGCCGAGCCTGGCACGTGTCCTCTACACCAGACCCTGTCCGTGCACAGGGCTCCTGCTCCCTGCGTCCCGAGGCCCAAGTGCAGCTTGAGATGCTGCTGCCCAGAGCTGAGGAATTGTGTCCCCACCTCCTTCCTGTGGGGAGGCTCTCCTGCCTCTTCCTTTCCATTTCTCTGGCTTCTGCAGTGTCTGTCTTCTTGGGGCCCAGAGGCAGAACCAGGCAGGCCCCAGAGTCCAGGGTTGTGGGCTTTGCCCTCAACTGCGTGGTATCGCTGTCAGAGGCCCAGCTGGCCAGCCAGCAGGGAAGAACGAATGGTGGGGCCTTCCGGTGACCCTGCCGTGAACTCCTACCCTGCTCTGTAGCTGGTGACAGCCAGAAAGATTCTGTGAAGGGCTGCACCAGAGCTGGGTGGGGCGCTGGAGCTGGGGAAACACAGGACTCTGTACTGCATGCCCTGTGGCTTGGTGGAGCAATGACTGCCTTCCCCGAGGCCAGCATTCCCATCCTAAGGCCACATTTCCATAAAGCTCTGCAGAGGCCTGAATAGACTGGTGACCACCCAGAGGTGGTTCCTGGCTCACTCATTCCAGGCTGCCTTCCAGATTGACATGCACTCAGTCCCACAAATACCACTTGATTGCTTTTCTGCTGCAGGTCAGGGCAGCACGGAAGAGCCTGGACTTTGAGGCCTCTTTAGGAAATCTCTCTGTCCCTCTTTGGGAAATCTGTCAGCTTGTCACTCCAGTTTCTGGTAAAAAGTAAAGATAAAAATGCAAAAAAAATATACAACTTAACAAGAAACCGGTTGCCTTTTAAAAGGAAGCTCTGTGCATTACCTGGAGCCGGACGGAGATGCCAGGAGCTCCATACCGAGATTGCCGCAGGCTCGGAAGGGCCACTTGGGTACATTATTCAATATCCTTTTCATACAGAAGGAAATTAAGGCCTGGACGAATGAAGTAGATAGAACTAGGAAGTGAACTTCAAGAGACTGGTGTTCATTCCTGGGCTGGAGGAGCCAGCATGTCCCGATGGGTGAGGAGGCCCTGGGCCCGGTCTCCCAAAGCCACAAGTATCAGTGGCTTCCCAGAGCTGTCAACCCAGGGCCAGCTCCAAAATACCCGTGCAGATGGGGCCAGGGATTCTGCCCTCTCTGGTTAAAAAACAGACTCTTTCTTGCCAGAGGCACAGGAAGAAAGACCATATTTTGACCTGGCCACACAGGGAGAAAATGTGCAAATGATCATGGTAGAGAGCAGGGAGGGGTTCTGTTTGGGGCAAGCTGCTGAGCGAAGCTGGGTCAGGGTGAGGCTGTGGGCACCTTCTGCAAGCAGGGCGAGGTGCCACTCTGCTGTCCCTGGGCTGGGCTTGGGAACAAAGCCACAGAGGGCTCCATGTGACCCCACAGTGTGGTTGCCTGGGGAACAACTCAGGTCACCCAGAGAGACTCATTTATAAACTCTGAATTTAAAGACAAACTTCAGAAATAAATTAGACACAAAATTCAGGGTTTGTGGCTCGAAGGCTCTGTTAGGATTTATGTGAGAACAAAGACAATGGGCAGGGGTAGTGGCTTGCAGATGGGGAGCACTTCTCTCATTGGGGACAGTGTTCAGAGCAGCTGTCAGGGTGCCATTGGCCCGCTTCTAGTCTGGAGAGCAGTCAGACAGCTGCACATGTGGCCACGCCACCAGGAGGCCACTGCAAGGGGCCTTGGTGACAGGCTGAAAAGCAGAAGACAGAAAGGTGGTGGGTGAGGGCTGGAGCCTGAGCTCAAACCAGCTGATGTCCCACTGCACAGGCGTCCCCGTCTCTTCTGACCCCATGACCACTGCAGTGCGATGACAGATCCACGGTCCTGGAATAAGCCTGGTGTGTCCTTAAGAAGCCAGGCAAATGAATGAGGCAGACACAGGCAGCAACAGAATCTTCTGTCTCTGGATGGGCTGCAGGATGTGGCTGGGAGAGCTCTAAGATGTGTTCTTTACTACAGACGGGCAACAAAGGGCAATGCTTTCTGAGCACTTTCTGAGCAAGGAGACCATGCCTGTCACAGCCATTCACACGGCAGCAGTGTGCATGGGCTCAGCAGTGCATGGAGGAACCTTGAGAGGAGAGCGGGGACAAATGCAGGCAGGGCTCGGTGCTGAAACCAAGTAGAACATGAAAGCGATGGACTGTCAACACAGGTTGCCCACAGCGGGAGAAACTGGGTCCATCTGCTCACAGTGGGCACCTTGCAGCTGCGCCGCTCCCAAGTGTCCGAGGTCCTGGCTTCGGCACTGAGGTCTGCATGCCACCCACGTGGGGCGGGCAGAGGTAAATCGCGGGTCACCCTGCAGATGCTCCTCCTGAGAAAGGCCACTTTCCTGCAGCTGCATTTAAACACAAGCCTCAGCATATCCTCAGGTCCTGCAGGGCTGACCACTGTCTGCCTCCTGCGCATTCCAGGGATGTGTTTTCTTACATCCAGGTAGATCGTCTTTTTGAAAAATGTTTGTTGTAGTTTGTGCTTGTCCTCACATTCAGACATCCTTGAATCTCTAATGTTAGCCAGTAAGCTTGTCTCCAGAGCCTCTGGGCACCAGCAAGCCCACCAGGCCGTGGAAGCGGGCAGTCGTTCCCCTCAGCCACTGCGTCAGTTCCATTGAGACTAGAAGGCAAAACAGATCTAGGTGGAGATGCCGTTTTGAGGGCCAGGCCCAGCTGGTGGCAGCTATGCAGTATTGATCGAGGACAGAAGGGAGCCCTTTCTGCATCAGCTGGCCCTGGGGCACAGTGCCCTCCCTGCAGCCCACTCCAATGGGTGCAGAGAACAGAAGCCCTGGGGGCCGAGGAAGAGGGTCCCCCCTGTGCAGTGCCTCCTGCTGCACCCCAGCTGGGGTCCCTGGAAGACAGGCCACACACAATGCTCTTCCTTAAAGTCATGATCAGTGTCTCACAGAAATGTAAACATTACCTTTTCTTCTAAAAAAGGCAACAGACTGGTTCTCCTATTTCCTTTGTGTGGATTCTGATGTTTCACTTGCGGTCCTGTCTTGGAAATTGTGGCTTAAACAGGGTTGAGAGGAGCCCTTCCTGACTCTAGCTCAGGAGACCCACACTGTGCGGCACAAAGGCCCAGCTGAAGGCAGACCAGAGTGGGCCAGTGGCTCTGGCCCACGGCCCCACCACTGTGAACAGGGGACTGGGAAGTCTCATCTTGCTGTCTAGGCCCCCATCATTTTAGGGACTTCACACTCCTAGAGCTCAAGGACTGCGTCCTAGTCATGTTCCCAGGTAAGCACAGTAGGTACTCAAGAAGTGTTTTATGGACTGTTAAGTATTCCAGGGCTTCCGGAAACCACTTCCCGACATAGTTTATACCACCCAGACCAGCTGCGGCAGCCAGTGGTGCCAGCACTTTCCTAACTGGTGATGCCCTCAACCCTGCTTTCATGAGCTAGTTTTGAGACATTTATTCCTGTTTGAAACTGAGAGACCACACCTGCAAACTCCCTCTTCCAGCATGTGGGAGGTGGTTTCCACGTGAAAATGCTTTTATATATATGTGTTACAGTAAATTATCTGCACCTACAAATGTGGAGGTTTTCGCTGGTATCAGGTCACCAAGAACTCCTTAGGGACATGGCTGGCCTCCTGTCTCACAAGCTTTCCCTGTGGTGATAGCCTTGCATCAGTGAACAGGCTCAGGCACGAGTCAGTATCTCCTTCCCTGGGCAGGGGAGGTGATGGCCCCCCGCCACACCCTCTCACCAGAACTCCCTTGTCTGAGAGACACACAAACATCTGGAATATAGTTGTTTTCAGATTTAGAGCATTAAAACAAAAGAGTTCACCTTATATTCCTCTTCAACAAGGCCTCTGACCTATGATCAAGTTGAAGCACAAAATTTTCGAAGAATTGGTAACCAATTCTTACATTTTTACAATTTTTAGTGAAATTTTTTTCCACAAACTTAGAAGAGGTAACTAAACTAAACCAGTTAGAAGAGAAATGACATTGAAGAACATGATCTATTCAAACTTACTTTTTATTATAATTTTTTTCCAGTTACCCAGCATGCTACAATCTGATTGCTGACCTGGGTGAAACAGAGTGGAAAAAATGATTTACAGAGATATTTACATTCATCTGATTTGTACGTAGTGTGCCTCAATGCAGCATGACCCTCCAGCGGACGCCCCACGTTCACTGCCAAGTGGCCCCTGCAAGGTGGATGGACTGGAGCTGACATCTGACACTATGTAGGACACCCCTGGTGTGTTTTCAGAAATGGCTTGAAGTCACTATGTTTTTAAATCTGCTCATCTGATGCTGTACTACACACGGGTTTCAATAAATGAACTTTGTGAAGAGTAGAGTTATCATGTCCCCTTTTTACCTTGTAGCAATGAACAAAATACACCAAAAAGGCACATATTTTAACTCAGCCAAAGGATATTAAGGACGAAACTTTTTTCCTGCCATTCATGTTTTGTCTCTTCATGATCTTTATCATACTTCAACTTTATTTGCTCTTACTCAACACCCTGTAAGACTCCATAATTTATCATCCTTTATTTTGTGCACAATCGGGAGACACCAGGAAGCACTAAGCATTACCTTCTCCTCTAACAACAAAAACAGACAAAAAAGCATCTTTGGCTCTGTGGTGTCAGGTTCTTCTTCAGGATACAGGGTTTGGGAGGAGCCTAAAAACACACGTGCTGAATGAAATAGCAAAATTTACTTATGAGTTCTATCAAATACCTGTACACAGATGGTTATTTTAGTTTAAAATAGTATTTCTACTGTACACAGTTAAGCCCTCAAATGCTTTAAAGTAATGAGCACAGGCATGGAGGCGTGCGCTGCCTTTGAGGGTGACAGTACAACCCCGGAGGCGAGGCTGCCACTGGGATGTGCCCCTGCCCCTTGGCCATCCTTCCCACCTTTGCCTCTCAGTGTGGCTGTGGTTGGGCTCTGGAGGCAGCAGGATGATACCCATGCAAAGACCATTTGAGTCTCGAGGGTGGAAAAGGTTCAAGCCTGAAAAAGTACAAGTATCCAGAGGCATAGGTTTTGGATTGTGCTAGACATCAAAGTTGTCCCCTAAGATATGTTAATTGTCCCTAATTGTTTCAGGAATACAGTAAATAGATCATACAATATTCTAAAAATAGCACCTTTAAAGAACTACAGAGGTCACTTTGTCTCAGACTCCTGGGTCTGTCAGCCTGTGGTTGTGAGGAAGAGCACGGATAAGAATGCCCTTGATCTGAGTGCGTCACATGCGCACGCACACTTCACTGACTTTGGTCCCAAAGCCATTCACTCCTTATCCAGCTTAGTCACAGGAGCAAAGCCAAGTTTCTATGATAGTAGAATTATGAGGTAAAATCAGAAAAAGGCCCCATCCAGAACAATGCTAGGTAACTCAGACTGTAGTCCAATCTTACCCATCTACTACTCACGTCTAAGTTTGTTCATTTGCCAGAACAGACTTTAAGGAGGAGGTATGCAGAGCAACACGTCATCAGGAAGACATCGCTGATGTGCTACACTCCCTAGGGATTCTGGGTCCAAACCATCTGGTGCTTGGTGTGAAGATTATTAGGGTCTTAACAAATCTCCACAGAGACTTGTTCCATCCCTGGCTTCACAGATCTGTCCTAACTGGTGCTCAGAGGTCAGCATCTCCCCTTCGGAGGCAGACCATCATCAAAGTTTGCATGACTGGGCAATTGCCATTGTACTGCAGCAATAAAATAACCCCATGCGTGTTCTGAGCTGTAAGAAATTCACATATTTTCCTGTCACATTTTGTATAGGTCAGGTTTAATATAAGGTGGAGCTACTGAAAACCTCTTTTTCAGAAAAGAGTAAGATGTAATTTTCTGAGGTTACAGAACCACATCCAACAACAATAAGCAGAGAAGTAGCAGATTGACATAGTGCTTTATTTAAGCTGTCTGTACGAAGGAAAATAATGTGCATCCCTATCATATACGTGTAAAAATACTAAGGATGTACAGTGTACAAAAACAGTTTCTTGTAGTTATTTCACACCCTTGTGGGTCAAATACTTAAGGAGATCAACAGTTTCAGGATGACCGACAGTGACAGTAATACAGTCTCTTGGGTTCGTAGTTGCATCTGCTTGAAATCCTTAACCAGATGACTAGATCTTGTGCAAGATCTAATGAAAGAACTAGCAAGGTCAAGAAATGTCACAAACTATAAAGCTACAGGGAGGTAATTCGATTACCAATTTAGAGGTTTTCTTTTTATTTAAATAAATACTTTACATTTCATGCTTGCCTGTAATGCACTACGAGGAGCAAGATAAGGAAGTTCTGCTGTGGACAGCGCAGTAGCAGCAAAGTGCGGACACTGAGGGGGGAAATACAGGCCCTGCGGTAGTGAGGGAGGCCCTGATGCTCGTACTCGTGGAGAAGCAAGTGGCCCCGGCGAGAACAGTCAGCTTTAGGAAGCCAGAAGCCAGGGACGGGAAATGGAAACAATACTGCAGTAATGCTGTGTGATTAGTGCAGAAAGCAAAGCGGTGAGCAACCCTGCCCAAATCCAAGCAGAAATGGCCCATTTCCTCCATGACAGCTGCACCGGGACAAGACGGCAGGCCCCACGAGGTAGTGGAGGACGGAGCCCGCCAGGCCACACTGCACTCTAGTGGGACGATTCCAGGGCTCAGGCCTCCCCAACTGCCAGAACCCAACACCACCGCTATGGGCAGACACAAGGGAAGCTTTAGCAATCTGTACACACACTGCTGTTCTTCTGTTACTCCTCCATGCCAGCTAACTGAGATCTGGGACCAGAAGTGAGGGATTCCCACAACTGATGCCAAGAAAACACTACCGGAATCTTGGAGGTGGTGGTGACAGCTCCTGGGCACTGGCTGGGGCCTAAGGGCCAGATGTGAGGCATGGCTGGCCCAGGGTACTTCCAACAATGTCCTTAGCTTTCAGGAACCATCCTTGGCCAAGGCCATGGAAATCACCTTAAAATTTTTTTAAAAAAGGCCATTACTGTGCTTAGCGTGTGGTAACACTCCTTCCTTCTGAAGGAGTGATGCTCTGAGCATCTGCCAGCTCAGCGGCCTTCTCTTCCTCCTGTTTCTCTCTTATATAATGGATCCAAGACAACTTACAAGACATACTTCTACTTTCTTGTCAAAGTGAAATGTTCAACATAATTCCAAGTGAAAAAAAAGTTGAGCTATGTAAGAGAATGAACTACCAATTCCTGTAACTTACTATTTGATGCTAATGATGAACTTCACTCAGGTAGAAATGGAAGTGAAGGTAAGATCTACATCTGAATATGTCTTAGCTGCCTTAGTAAATGCCCTTTAGCCCTGTCCGTCCCAGTGGCCCCTCCAGCCAGCAGGGGCACCATGTCTGTAAAGCCACACTTCTAGCATCAAGAGGTTGAGACACCTGCCCTCAAACATCATTCATCCCACCTAGAAAGTCACTTGCTGTTTCATTTAATGCAGGGCTGACACTACATCCTGCTGTGGTCTTCCATTTGGGAGCTGTCAGTTAAGTCTAACTGAAACCCATCTCCACAATCACTCCACGGGATCAGATGCCTCCTGCATGCCGGGACAAGGGTCCTCTGCCCCCTGGACTTCTTAGGCTGCTTTGGAAAATGTCAGCTCCTAGCACCAAAGGGTTTAATCTGAAGATCATCATTAATGAAGGAGAAAGATGAGGTTTGCATACACGTCCCCTTTCAGTGAGAAATGTTGGAATTTGGGACATGAATATATACAGAAAAAGAAAAGTTGGAGGTGTTCTTTTTTGTTTGAGTTTTTTTTCCCCTGATAGCTAATTCAGTGATAAATGTACCATGATCAAAATAAACACACCAGGTTCTTATCCTTTACTACCTACTTTGTAAATACTCTCGATGTGTTCATTTTGCCAAGTAAAGTTCATTTCTTATCATTTCATCAGGTCTCAATTTTCTTCATTCCACTATGTTGCCAGGCCATCACAACATTTCAATTCTCAAATGAGCAAACAGCAACATTAATTTTTCACTAACCCCTTGGCATGGATAGTTGGGGATTTTCTTATTAGTAGCACCAAGGGGTTAAATGACAGCATCTCTTCTCCAAAAGCCAAATTCTAAGCAGCATGTACAATTTCAGAGCCTCATCAAACATTTTTTTACATAGGAGAAAAAGTGCATGGTTCTCACTGGTGTGCGCATTTCTTGCACATGGGTCAAAATTAAACTGCAGTAAGTCTATTTTAGGTAAGTTGGAGCTGCATTTGCTAACAGGACATACAATTCTCATCACTAAAAAATAAATACTACTGCAATATAAACAGAATCATAAAAGGACAAAGTTTTAACATCTGAGAAAAACTAATTCATGTAGAACTGAAAGTAAAAAATTGAAACAAGTAAGGCAAACACCTGTTCACCTTGGTGTACAAATTTTGGTGAAAACCAGGATCATTACACCTGTCTACATTCTTCAGCCATCAGAGGTGATAAATACCAAGAAAGGAAAAAGGCTTCCAAGCACAGGGGGAAAAATGCTCTCTGGTGCAAATCATATCAGAGACCCTTCAAGTGACCTGGACTCTGTTGATATCAGAGACCCTTCAAGTGACCTGGACTCTGTTGTGCATATGCCTCTTTCCTTGGAAGAATAATGTTCATTTGCCATTGCCAATGTTCATTGCCAAATGTGTTCATTTGCCAACACGGCCCATGGACGTCCACATGTACCACGGGCTTCCTTTGCAGTACCCAACAGGAATTTAATACGCATGTGTCTCTCTCTACCTCACCAGGTGTTTGGTCCTTCTCTCCAACGCCTCCTGATAAATTCCAGCAGGGCCTAGGGACAGATGCCTACTTCATGCACTGAGCTGACAGGCTTTGCTAAAATTTTGCATATGCACATCACCACCCTCCCACAACTGCTTGTTCTGAATTATCAACTAAATCTTCTTAGTCTAATTCATTTTTTATTTATCTTCTAGAAAGTTAGAAAATGTACCTAGAATCAGTGTATCTCATTTCGCCTTCACTGTTAGGGACAAATAAAAACTAAAGTCCAGAAGGTGACAGTTGGTGCACACATGAACAACAGTGGGCTCATGACTTCCGAAGACTGTGAATCACGTCTTACAGTCGCTATGAGAGAAGGACAGCAGCAGTAACAGCGTGAGACCTTAGACAGAGACAGTTCCATGCAGAAACAAGAGTGTGGGAGTGTGTGTGTTCTTGGTGGGTGGGAGGCGACGAGGGTGAGGGCAGGCCGGGCCACCGTGTGGAGGCACTCCTGCGGCTGTGAGAGTGTGGGCTGCTGGGATGGCCAGGAATCGTGTCCGGTGACAGCTCTGAGGTGACAGCGGCGGGCAGGCCGTGGAGGCTTACTCCCGCCCGCTCGCAGAGTAGGAGAACTGGGGGAAGTGCGGCCGCCGCTCGTTGTCCACGCAGTCCATGCCGTCCTCATCGTCTGTAGGCAGGAATTGACTATTTTAAGTTTACATTTATTTTTGGTAACCTTATCTCTGGCCTACATAGTTCTAACTTCTAACATCATAAAGATTAACTGAGGCAACAGCACCCAGAAACTTGTGCTTATCAACAAAACATACAGCAATTAAACTTACTTTAAAAACTATTTTCATTTTCAAACATATCTATGAAGAATACTATCAAATCATTTCCTTTAAGATACTAAAATTTCAAGACTCAACAAACTTGGAAAAATACTGTTGAAGAAACAAACACTTTCTAAGTAAGAAGGAACAAAAGGCCTTCAATATCCTTTAATTTCATGAAACTATGCATGGCAAAAGCACAGAAGGCAGGGAGTCCTAAGGCAGTGCCTGAAACCCAGCACCCACTGTCTTCAAATGCTTTTATATTTTCCTCATGGTGCTTCAGATGTGATTGCAAAATAAAGCTTCACATGATTCCATTTCACTTAAGACCTTGAGTCCATGTTTAAGGTTTTCACATTACATATTTATTCTACATCTAATATTGGCCTTACTGCAGCATTCCTGCTTTCCCTATGACAGAGCTGCGGACTGCAGTGAAGAGACAAAGACAGGGAAGGTGGGACAGACGGGCACATCCAAGTACGGGCCCCTCAGCAAACAACAGGGGGAAGCGGCATGACAGGGTGGACAGGGCTGCTCCCCATCATCACCCATTTTCCTGTGTTTGAAAGACTCCAAATGGCCACCCAGCCTGTCCCCACACTGATCAGATGACTGAAACCCTGCAAGTCAGGATGCTCTTCCTCAGGTCTGGACGGACGTTCAGCCACTCAGCCCGTGGGCTCTGGGCAAAGTCCCCGCACTCTCTGGGGGGCACCGTGTGTGTGGGGTGCCCCCGGCTCTCTGCTCTACTCGAACCACACTGGGTTGTGTGCTGTCCTATGGTGAGGTAAGTCAGTCTTTCAAATACCCATCCTTCTTTTCTACAAGCAAAATAATCCCATTTCCTCAGATACACACAGGAAGCACACCACGAGTTCTTACTAGCTTCCCAGCCTCTCCAGAGCGTCAGCCTCACGCAGTGGGAGCAGGAACACAGGCCAGTTCAGTGGATCATGGGCATGGACCCCGTCACTCACAAAGGAGGATGCTCTGCACATCTCTGAAGAATAACAAACATTTCTGTGCTTCCCTTTCCTCACTGCTCTTCGCAGTATTCTGCTCTTAATACAGAAGATTGTAGAAATGGGGTCATGCCGCTAATCAAAATTTGTGGCCTTACGTGTACTAGAAAATGTCACTGTATTAGGTAGGGTTCTATCCATTGCCTTTGTGGCTCCCTGCTCCGTGTGAACCACTGGCCTCTTGAGGGTCTCTCTCCTTTGTAAACACACCTCTTTGGCTATAATCAGCATTTCAGATAGTAGGGTGATTCTGGGAAATTTCTGCCTCCTTATCAGAAAATAGTGGTTAGGCACCAAGCTAGCCTCATGCATGGTTCAGGTCAAATACCTTCCACACTGTTTTTAGCTGTACTTCATAAAGGGGAAGCTTCTGATGGCCTCTCTGCTGTTGAGTCACAAAATATAAAAACTCTCTAGAGAAAAGTTAGCTGAGATAAATGCTTAGATTCGGATGTGCCAATCACATTTCAAAGAGACAGTTTTCCCCAGTGACAGCTTCAGTTTGCTGAGAGTGTTACTGCACAGCAAATACTGTTTTGTGCAGAGCCTCAGACAGCACACGTGGGAAGCCTGTGCTAGTCTGGCCTCAGTTAGAGGGGCAGAGGCTGCCTGCTGCCAGGGCCACAGCCTGGCCAGCAAGAAGGTGTGGAGTCCCGCTCAGCCAGGCCCTCTGAAGGAGGAGTATTTACTGCTATGAGGCTGCATGTCAGCCGAGAATGAAGAGTCTTCATTCTGTCACTTTAGAAACAAATCAATCACATTGCTGGATATACAGGTGAGCTAACTCTCAGGGGTGACATGTGTGGGCCCCACCCCTTGACAGCCCTGAAAGCCAATCCTATGGCTCTCGCTCTGGCTCCCTCCTGTCCTCTCATGCTGGGTAACAATGGGGCCAAGGGTCTGACCATGGCCCCAAAACTGCAAGCAGGTCAGCAGTGGGGCAGGAACGCGGGCTCCCCTGGCTCTCTGGGCCGCACCGCCAGGTGGGGCCAAGGACAGAGGGGAGCTAGACGCCACCGTGGGCTGGCAGCTGACTGCCCCAGCTGGAGGCTGTCATCGCCTGTCAGAGGGTGAACGCATGCTCCTGCTCTGAAAGGAGCTTCACAGGGACTATGAGGGCAATGAACGCAACTATGCTAAAAACCAGGCAACAAGCTTCTGAACAGAGAAAAGTAGAACGATCAGCTCTGCATTCTTCATCTGAACCCTGGACCAAGTAGTATCAGTTGTCTAATTTTCTTAGAATGTGTAACAAATATAATCATACAGCAGCAAAAGTTCCTAGATCCCAAAGAAATCCTCTTTTTCTGTAAGGAGGCAGAAGACCACTAATGGGTATAATGCAAGATGACACATTCCAAAATCTGTTCCATTAGTTAACATCAGTGAGGACACTCTGGCCTGTCACTGCAACTGTTTGCAGGAAAGGGACTCTTTACCTTTCTGCTGCTGACTTATTCTAAAGAATAACTCCACTCTGTTTTACAGAAGCAGGGTGGCAACTGGGAAGACTTGCTAACTGATGGTGCTCTGTGGGCTTTTATGAACAAAACGTCTGTCAGAACAGCTAGAGAGCTGCACTGGTTTCTCACCTGCAACATTGCTCGAGGCTGCAGGAAGAGGAGATTGTGTTAGATGTAATCACAGTTCAAGGCTCCACTGATCTCCCCTTTGATCTGCCTCTTCAAGGAATCTAGGATATCCAAGGGCCATCGAGCTAAACACACGGCCCCGTGCCCTGCAAGAACCCAGGAGCTGCAGCTCCAAGTGCTGTAGGCCTGCCTGGTGGCAGGAGCCCAGGCCCACAGCCTTGTCTGGGAGCCATGTGGAACGGCTGCACAGGCCAGGCTGCTGGGTCTGCCTTAATCTCGGCCCTTCTGCTGAGTGTTCCACCTGTTTGTTCTGCAGACCCTGAGTCGGGAAAGAAGGTGGCAAGTCCACAGCATCCTGCCCCCCGCTGTGGGGCTCTGCGTGGGCACTGACGCTGCAGCACTCACGTCCCAGGGCCATCCAGGGCCCTGCCCACTTCTGACACCCACAAAAGCCAGACTCTCACAGGCTAACAGTTGTAGGGAGATACTGATACCCGCCTCTGTAAGTTACTACAATGTATGGGCTTCCTATTGTCCCTGTCTCAATCTAGAAACATACTTACTATCCTTTAAAGACACCAAGTCACTGGGCCTAGACAGTGCTTCCCACATCTAAAAATGCCATCTCTTCTTTCAGGAACAGAGTTGCCTTTAGTGATGACATGTGACATACCAGGAGAGACATTCTATTAAAACATTTAATTCTTTCATATTCTTGATCAATAACTTGAGATACTAGGTTCATATTATATTCCAGAAACTGACTTGGACACCTGACAACATTTCAGTCTCAGTTCAGAAGTTCTGTAAATTGAGCAATAAGATGACTATCAATGACATGTTCTCATCAGGACAACTGCCATGTGAGTCAGGGAAAAGGCAGGTAAGACGAATTTAACAGAGGTTCTGCTTCTTGACAGTTAGGGCTTTGAAATTCTAGTCCATCATGTAAAAGAAACTGATGGTTACGGAGGCATGTATTAGAAAGCTTTTCATTTAATTTATAATCAAATATATCTTAAAACTTTGCTGTGCTATTTAGTCTTCTATTTGCTGCCATCACACCCCGTCCATGTCCATTCTTTTTTGCTAGGTATTTACTGTACTGGGCCTATCACCACCCTTCCTGTAGTGGATCAAGGGACAAAGAACACTATGAATTTGTTAAACTGATGCATAAATAAAATGAAACAAAGGGATATTCAAGCCTGTAGAGCTCTTGGTGCCTTTCCTAAAGAGGTGGTTTCTCAGCCCACAGCATGGGGGAAGATGGGGCTCCTCCAGATTACTCAGACTTGTCTTCTCCTTTTCTAGAGAGCAGAGGGACCTCCCACGTCCCAGAGCTAGTGCAGGACACCAAGCAGGATCTGAGCCCTGTGTTTTTTCAATCTTACCACTCTCTTCCCTGCTAGGATTTTGCTTTTTAACTTCCTAAAGTAAAGTATGTACTTGTGGCATTGCATTTATAGAGCCTACCTATTTCTATGACTTATAAAATGACATATTTAATTATCCTAAAAAGAGCCCACAACGCCAAACTCCATTTAACAAAGGAAACTGTCCCTAAGAGGCTAAGGCTGAGACAGAGACATGTTAGGGCCTCACCCCTCCAATGTCCACTGTAGTGGATGTCATGTGGGAAGGGAAGTAAAACATACAGAATTAAGGGTGGTGATGGTCAACGGCACTGTCTGCAAAGAGCTTCCAGTCCAGAAACTACCTGGCCTTCACCATAACTTGTTTATTCACTTATGTAATATTTATTGAATTCCTACACTGGGTCTTGTACCTAACCAGGAGCTAGGGCTAGTAGTAAGAGAGACCAAACTCTTCTCAGAGCTACTGCATTCTGGTTGGAGAAACAGCGAACAAAGAGACAAACAAATTACCCAGAAGAGTATCAGCAAGTAAAGGTATCAATATAAAGAATTGACAGGTGAGGGATGGTGTCCAACAGGCTGCACTGTTCTTTAGTTCTGGAGGTTAAAGAAAGCTCTCTGATGAAGTGACATTTAAGCTGAGATCTGAAGACCAAGCAGCCGTTCACACAAATGTTGGGGGAAAGAGCAATTCTAGGCAAGAGAACAGTAAATACAACAGTCCCAAGGTACTGTGAAACATGGTGTGATCATGGTGTGATTGGAACCCAGGGACAGTGGGGAAAGATGGAACAGGCCAAGGTCAGAGAGGCCAACAGGACCCAGTGCAGATGAGCGTGTGGGCCAGTGTGAGTGGTTTGGATTTAAAGTGCAGAGAGAAACCACTGGAGTGTTTTAAGCAGGGGCATGACATAGTCTGATTACAATTAAGGTTCTTAAATGCTCTGTGGTGGAAAGTACCCATGGGCCAATCTGACAACCCACTGGTGTTGCCCAGATTTCCAGACAATTGTATCCCCACAGTCAGTCCAAGCTGGGGTCAGGAGAAACTGCATCATGGCTTGTGCCCACTGACTCTACACAGACAGGCCTTAGTCACTTGCCCCCAATTCCACAGGAATTCTGGCACTGTGTTCTACTCTTTGAGATGCTAAGATTCAAGCAATGTCACGTGAAGCAGAATGGAAGCCCATCATCCCACCACTGCTAATACTCAACAACCAGCATTTTAACATCCTATTTCACATTGAACACACGCATTGCCTGGGTGGTGAGTCCTGCTCCTCGCGGGGGGCTGACGCTAACTGGAGAACTCTGGGAAGCTCAATTTCTCTCTTAGTTTCAATTTCTTCCCTTACAAAATGAAAGTTAAACAGTTCTTAAAGCTTCTTGCAAATTTAAAGGAAGAAAGGTACTTATATGCCTACACAATTATATTCTACATTTCTGGATGTTCCAAGTCCCCCACTGTCAGGCCAAGGGCCCAGCTTGGATGACTCCTCGTTTGGCTGTCAATGCCACAGTCAGCTGACTATGGCCACAGATGGACCAGCACTTCCCCACACCTTCCCTCTCAGGGTACTTGGAGCCTTATCATTCTCAACGCATCTGCCCCGAGAAGGCAGAGAAGGAGATAAAGGAGCAGCAAAGAAAAACTAACAAGGTGTTGCTGCGTGAGCCAGAAGATGTGTGACTTGCAGCAGTGTTGCAGCTGACCAAGTCTGTCCCTGAAACACCAGGATCCTCACTGCTAAACTGATGACAGGCACAGACTGAGCCAGCACTAGAGAACTGTGACACATTCGACCTATGGCCTGTTCTTACATTAAAGCCCACTTACTCAGGACATCTATCAAAGCAGGGGTGTGGTCATAAGTGTATGTGGTGTGGTCTTAAATGGTACACAAAAACAGGAGGTATGTAATTTAACTTGTATGTATCAATAATTTACTACCAAATTCAGTTATGTCTTCACAGATATTACTGCTTAAGACAATGCTAAGTAAAAAAGAGTGATTGAATTTAAAGTGAATTTAAAAAATACTAAGTATGAGGAGACCAGAATTAGCAAAATTCTGAAGCTGATATGTGATGCAGCAAGTCTGGGAAACAAGGAGGCTCTTTTCAGAATTCTTTCAGCTGATGTCAAAAGAATCTACTGGAGAACAGTAAGGAAGGGCTCATTAGTCTGTAATTTGACCTATAATTTCTCTGCATGTGAGTTTTTATACCCCAAAACACTGTTCTCTCAGCTATATGTCTTTAGCTATCTCCACACTGGGAACTTCAGAGCCTTAACTGGAATGGAATAAGGTCATGTGGAATTTGGTCTTGAAAATTTCCAAATAAAAAAAGGCTGTTTCTTCAATGATATATTAGAATGTTATTAATCACCTTCTAAATTTACTCACATTTTTCAGGTGGTGTTATTGTAATAGTTTGAGCTGTAAATTCTTCATCAAAATATCTGGTGTCTGTCTCAGATGTTACTTGAGGCTTAAAAGGAGGCACAAGCTGAAGAAGAAAGAAAAAGAATGCTATTAACAGATTTCAATTTAGGAAAATTTATTTCTAGGATAAAATTGGAGAGCAAATAACTAAATGACAGTGTGAGAGACCAGACTGCTAAGTCACTGTAAGGGAGATGTGACATTTGGCTTGCGAGCCAATGGTCTAAACACAGAACAGTCGGTACTTAGTTGTTCTACATAAAATTTGAGGGATTATGTGAAACAGAACAAATGAGAAACCAAAGAATAGGATGAGGAGGGGATACTGAAAAGCCTGTCCTCATTTTTTCCCCCATAAAAACCCTACCTAGAGAACTATGCACCCAGCTGCACAGAAGTGCAGGCTCTTCCCAGTGCAGCATAGGTACCACCTGCTGGCTCCCCACAACCTCCCTCCCAGTGCCCGGCTGACCACACTATTATTAGAAACACAACTTAATATGCAAGAATACCCTAGGCCACAGACAGAGTTCTGCCTTTGTACCTGGCAAAAAATTAAAACTGTGCTTACTTGAGAGGGTCACTCATGGTTGTCCCTGCTCTGAACAGGGGTTCCTGACAGCTGTCCATAGCTTTCGTGAGATCTCAAAGGGGACCATGACCCAAAAGAGGTGAACAGTAATTGCTCTAGGACTGACAGATTGGACTCATTTGCTTCAAACTTGCAGCAGCCACGGGATGGGGGAAGTCTTGGGTTGCTGAAGGTCACAGGAGCCTGAGCTGTGTGACCTCACAGGACTGGGAGGGACCAGGAGGCAACATGGGCCCCTGCTTCTCAGAGCTCGGGTGGCACAGCGCAAGTGCAAGCTTTCCTTTTAACACAAAAGCCAGGTCCCAGCCTGGAGCTAGAGTACATAACTCTGCTGAGTACAATTCAAAAAAAAGGATGTTGCTTTTAGGATAAAATTCCCATGTGGATAGAAAAGTAGAAAACAGAATGACAGAAATCAGGACATTTTATAAAAAGATCACAGAAACAAATATGCAATTGGTTTTAGATCAATCTATTTTCCCACTCCTACTGTTACCAAATTTATGGTAAATAATAAGGCAAGAAATATTTATTCTCTGGACAGTCTATGTTTTTAAAAACCAGGGAATGAGGACGGCAGAAAAAGATGGCAGCATGAGAAGTGAGGCAGAAACCTCTTCCCAAAACCACATAAATACATCAAACACAACTAATCCTGAAAGAGTGACCCAAAAGAAGACTGCAACAGACTGCCTACATCTGTGGAAAAGAGAAGACATCACAGAAAAAGGTGAAGTAGCAAAACCATGATCTGGCAGGACCCAAGCTTTCCCCCAATCCCAGCTCACAGGCAGGAGGAAGAAAAATGGAGCAGGGAGGGAGTAGAAGACCAGGACTGCTAAACATCAAACCTGGAGATGTGCTTTAGGAGCACGAACCCACATTACATGGTGATCTGGAGATTAGAGGGGCTGGAAAGCAAAGAGAGGCGGAATACTGGGAGAGAATGAGATTCCAGCCATTTGTGGAGAACAGGTATCCACAACCAGCCATTCTGGGACAAAAAAGAAGTGGACACATTGAGAGACTTCCCAACAGAGAGAGGGCTTCAGAAAGAGCAAGGCCTGCACAGAGCTTACTGTTCAGGAGAAAGGACAGGTGGACAAAATTATCCCTGGCACTCAGCCCAGCAGGTTGGGAACTTTCAGGAGCTTCAGGAACTCCATCCCCCTGGCTAGCAACAGAGTGCCAGGGCTGCCCACCGTGATACCAGCCTGCAGCTCCTTCCTTCCAGCCAGCACCAGCTCACAAACCTGCTGCCCCTGCCATTATGCCAGCACAGCCAGAGGGAGGCCCCACCTATGGCAACTACAGAGACTCAACACAAAGGCTCCTCCCTGCATGTTAGGCCCACTGGCCCTGACAGTGGAAGCAGACACTGCAGCTGAGAAGCAGGAAGGAGGTCCTTCCTCTCACTGCACACCTGTAACCTCCCACTGGGCAGTTCCAGACAGTAGAACTTCTGAGCACTAGAGGGCACCACCTACACTAAGTTACTATTCCACAGCAATCATTAGAAATACGAAACAGCAAAAGAATATTGGACAAACCCAAATCCCTCAAATACCAGAAAGAGGGCTAAGGGAAACTGAAATCACTAATCTTCCTGATAAAGATTTCAAAATAAAAATCAAACATGATCATGGAGCTACAGAAAAATGTTCAAGTTCTCAAAGATGACTTCAAGAAAGAAATAGAAAATTTGAAAAATAAAGTATCTGAAATGAAACATACAATGGAGGAATTTAAAACTGATTAGCTGAGATAGAGGAGACAGTAAATGAAATAGAAATTAGAGAAGAGAAATACAAAGAAGCTGAGGCACAGAGAGAAAAAAAGGATCTCTAGGAAAGAAAGAATATTGAGAGAACTGTGTAACCAATTCAAATGGAACAATATTCGTGTTATAGGGGTATCAGAAGAAGAGAGAAAGGGATAGATCAGGACATTTTATAAAAAGATCACAGAAACAAATATGCAATTGGTTTTAGATCAATCTATTTTCCCACTCCTACTGTTACCAAATTTATGGTAAATAATAAGGCAAGAAATATTTATTCTCTGGACAGTCTATGTTTTTAAAAACCAGGGAATGAGGACGGCAGAAAAAGATGGTAGCATGAGAAGTGAGGCAGAAACCTCTTCCCAAAACCACATAAATACATCAAACACAACTAATCCTGAAAGAGTGACCCAAAAGAAGACTGCAACAGACTGCCTACATCTGTGGAAAAGAGAAGACATCACAGAAAAAGGTGAAGTAGCAAAACCATGATCTGGCAGGACCCAAGCTTTCCCCCAATCCCAGCTCACAGGCAGGAGGAAGAAAAATGGAGCAGGGAGGGAGTAGAAGACCAGGACTGCTAAACATCAAACCTGGAGATGTGCTTTAGGAGCACGAACCCACATTACATGGTGATCTGGAGATTAGAGGGGCTGGAAAGCAAAGAGAGGCGGAATACTGGGAGAGAATGAGATTCCAGCCATTTGTGGAGAACAGGTATCCACAACCAGCCATTCTGGGACAAAAAAGAAGTGGACACATTGAGAGACTTCCCAACAGAGAGAGGGCTTCAGAAAGAGCAAGGCCTGCACAGAGCTTACTGTTCAGGAGAAAGGACAGGTGGACAAAATTATCCCTGGCACTCAGCCCAGCAGGTTGGGAACTTTCAGGAGCTTCAGGAACTCCATCCCCCTGGCTAGCAACAGAGTGCCAGGGCTGCCCACCGTGATACCAGCCTGCAGCTCCTTCCTTCCAGCCAGCACCAGCTCACAAACCTGCTGCCCCTGCCATTATGCCAGCACAGCCAGAGGGAGGCCCCACCTATGGCAACTACAGAGACTCAACACAAAGGCTCCTCCCTGCATGTTAGGCCCACTGGCCCTGACAGTGGAAGCAGACACTGCAGCTGAGAAGCAGGAAGGAGGTCCTTCCTCTCACTGCACACCTGTAACCTCCCACTGGGCAGTTCCAGACAGTAGAACTTCTGAGCACTAGAGGGCACCACCTACACTAAGTTACTATTCCACAGCAATCATTAGAAATACGAAACAGCAAAAGAATATTGGACAAACCCAAATCCCTCAAATACCAGAAAGAGGGCTAAGGGAAACTGAAATCACTAATCTTCCTGATAAAGATTTCAAAATAAAAATCAAACATGATCATGGAGCTACAGAAAAATGTTCAAGTTCTCAAAGATGACTTCAAGAAAGAAATAGAAAATTTGAAAAATAAAGTATCTGAAATGAAACATACAATGGAGGAATTTAAAACTGATTAGCTGAGATAGAGGAGACAGTAAATGAAATAGAAATTAGAGAAGAGAAATACAAAGAAGCTGAGGCACAGAGAGAAAAAAAGGATCTCTAGGAAAGAAAGAATATTGAGAGAACTGTGTAACCAATTCAAATGGAACAATATTCGTGTTATAGGGGTATCAGAAGAAGAGAGAAAGGGATAGAAAGTGTGTTTGAGGAGGTAATTCCTGAAAAATTCCCCAATCTGGGGAAGGAAATAGTCTCTCAGGCCATGGAAGTGCACAGATCTACCAACACAAGGGACCCTCGGAAGACAACACCAAGACATATAAAAATTAAAATGGCAAAGATCAAGGACAAGGACAGAGTATTAAAAGCAGCCAGAGAAAGAAAAAAGATCACCTAAGAAGGAAAACCCATCAGGGTGTCACCAGACTTCTCAGCAGAAACCTTACAGGCCATAAGGGAGTGGCATGACATATTTAACACAATGAAAGAGAAAGGCCTTGAAATAAGAATATACTACATGGAAAGATTATCATTTAAATTTGAAGGAGGGATTAAAGAATTTCCCGATAAGCAAAAGTTTGAGAGAATTTATCTTCTAAAACATCTCTACAGTGTGTTTTAAAGGGACTGCTATAGACAGAAGTGCTTCTAAGGCTACATAGCTGTCACCAGAGAAAATAAAACCACAGCAAAGGAAGCAGACCAATTAATTACTAAGCAAATGCAAACTTAAATCAACTACCTAAAAAATCAGTCAAAGGATACACAGAGTACAGAATATGACACCTAACATATAAAGAGTGGAAGAGGAAGAAAAGAAGGAAGAAAAAAAAACCCTTAAATTGTGTGTGAAATAGTGTAATAAGTGAGTTAAGGTAGACTATTAGTAAAGAAGCTACCATTAAACCATCGGTAACCACAAATCTAAAGCCTGCAATGGCAATAAGTACATAGCAATCGATAATCACCCAAAAATGCAAATGGACGGAATGCACCAATCTAAAGACAGAGTTACAGAATAGATAAAAAACAAGACACATCTATATGCTGCCTACAAGAGACTCAATTCAAATCCGAAGACATTTACAGACTAAAAGTGAAGGGATGGAAAAAGATATTTCATGCAAATAGGGAGAAAAAAGCAGGTGCCTTGTATCAGACAAAATAGACTTCAAAACAACAAAAGTAACAAGAGATAAGAA